GAAGCGTGTGGGGAGTAGGGGAGAGATGCCATCCCAGCCCTGCAGCATCCTGGCCTCAGCTCTAACAGAGAGGGGCTTCCCCCCACACCCCACCTTGCCGGGGGCCCCAAACCCCCTCGAGGAGGCTGGGAGAGGGACACCCCCTTACCGGGGAAGGCTGGCAGTGCGGGATGGCCAGAGTCGCTGAAGGCCTGCGGGGATGCAAAGGAAGCAGCTGCAGAGACAGCAGCAACTCCAGGGACCCCCCCTCAATGTGATAGTGATGACGGCCCCAAGTGCCAGCCCTGGCCAGGATGCCAGCAGAGCATCCCCCATCCCCTCCAGCCAGGCAGAGGGCACCAGGGGGACCTGGTCACCAGCCCTCGGCACCGCCAGCACGGCGACCGTGTCATTACTCACATTGCTGCTGTCGTAGACTATGCTGCCAGGCGGCCCAGGGGGTCCTGGGGGACCTGGGGGTCCTGGGGGACCCTGTGGGGGGAAAGAAGATGCAACAGGGTCCTGCGAAGTGGACAGTCTCCATGGTGGGGACACCAGGGCCATGCCCTGCCCCACCCCAGGGAGACAAGTGCCCTTTGGCAAAGGGATTCGGGTCCCCGGGGAGCCCTTTGGTGTGGATCCCCCCATCTGCTGGCCCAACAGCCTGGGGGGGGCCACAGCAGCGCTCACCCGCAAGCCCAGCACGCTACTGATGTCCGCAGGGTCACCCTTCTCGCCCTTCATCCCGTTCATGCCAGGACGTCCCTGTGGATGAGCAGCATGGATGAGCCACCCCCCCACACCTGCGCCAGGGTGACACCCCAGCATCACCTCTGGCACCCTGGCATCACCCCACCCCTCGGCACCGAAGGGACACGATGGGGTTTAGGGTTCCGCAGAGGAGGTGATGGCTGAGGGGACAAACAAACCGGGAGCGGGTCTTACGGGTCTGCCTGGAAAGCCAATCTCTCCCTTCATCCCTGCTCGTCCCTGGGGACCCTGGAGGGGAGAGAAGATGACGATGGGGGTGCTTAGACCAGGGGCACTTCCCGTCCCACTCCGTCCTGGCTCAGCCCTGTCCCTCCCTGTGTGCTATGAGGAGGACGGTGA